TCATCACAGTAGCAATATATTCTCAGACATTCATCACAGATAGTGGTCAACAACTTCCCAGAGGCAGCATTGAATAACAAGCTTAAGCACACACATGACCACAAAGCTTAAACACACACAAGACCACAATCACAGTAACATCCATAAGAAGCAGAGACACATTTAGAACAATCACATCCAATAATGGAAATACTATGAGTAATTGAAGTTAAAAAAGGTGACAGGAACTTCCCCACTTGTACATTGAAGCCCAAAAATTTGGATCAGGGCTTGGAAGCAAAATGTTCAGCATATCGATGTGTAGATGCATGCGTGAATAGAGCGCCTGAGAATGCTCAATCCCACGTTTTTCACATCCCTCTGGGTCATCAGTGTCGAGAAGAATTAAGTCCCCCTCCTCGCTCCCATGAAGAAAAACGTTGTCTTTCTGTGATTCAAGGTCGATGACGTCCTTCATGTCTCTGACCGGGGCAACATCGGCAGCATCGTCCTCGCTATGGATGACGATGACCTCGTCCTCCTCGAGATGAAATTCACGTCCTCACCTCCACCATCTTGAAATTCCGTCTCAGGAACAAAAGATTCAAAACATAAATCCAACGATTCCATTGCAGATCGTGGAGGAGAAGGCAATTCCATTGCAGATCTTGGAGTTGAGATTGAAAATCTCAAAAGATAAGATAAAAAGGGAGTGATTGAGGTTGGGTGAGGTTGGCGAAAGAGAGAGAGTCCGTAAATGAGAGGTTGGCGAGAGATAGTAAATGAGGGGTATTTTTGGAAGAGTATTGATAAAAACGTAGAGTGGGAAGATTATTTCCGGACGGAAAAAAACGTAGAGTGGGAAGTTTATTTCCGAACGGAGGGAGTATAAGAAAAATATTCCGTAGGAATGACCTATGGGAGGGGAGGATGGGAGAGTTGGGGCTTTGGGCACGGGCAATGGCGCATGTCTTGTAAAAAGGTGGAACACCCACCTCAAATGTCTCCACCCCGACTCGACAAGAGTGTAATTGGGATAAATCATATTTTAATCTCAATCTAATCCTTAGAGAAGCCACTCGTGCCTAATAGGCACTAGAAACTATTGCAAATAATAAAAGTCTCACAATACCGCTGTCGGAATTTGACAACCTCCCCTTGGACCAATTAAGTTACCCATGCGTGCGGCACATACCCTTGTAGTTTTAAAAAATAGTTGTAAAAAATTTAAAATTTACTAAAATACCCTTAATAAGTGAGTGGAGCATATCAAAAGAAGTGAATGTAATGATATAAATAACATAAGGTAATTGTAGTATTTTAAATATTAAAAAAAGTAATGGAAAGATCTTTTGCAAGCACACAAAAAAGACATTAGGAAAGGTCTATGGAGATAGTATATTTTAATGTTGGCTATAGACATTTACGTTCTTGTATCCCACTAAACACTAGAAGTAGATGAAGAATATGTATCAATTAAATTAAAATCTAAAATAAAATAAACATTGGTTATGAGATTGAGAGCCTTTTCTCTTCCCTTACTTTTAATTAGACCAAGCTCACATTCTTCTTCAGCATTTGTCAAAACTTACCATATCATTCGAAGCTATAGGATTATAATGTTAATTTGCTAATCTTGATCATTAATGAAAGCTTATTACACTTTCTTTTGAATATAAACTTATGAAACATATGCCCCTATAGACCTAAATAATCTAATACATCATACTCTAATGTCTGCCCAAGGGACAAAAGTAGGTGTGTTGACACAATGAACCAAGATAGAGCAAAGACCCAAAAGCATGCAAAAATGGATGGATGTCGAACGAGAACCAAGAGTCCAGTATAAGGAATCAACTCCAAGAACAACGACCGACTGAGAGGAGTTTACGGTTGACTCTTCATGCCGAATGGCATGACCGAGCCATGGAACAAACGGACTCTACACAAGGTCATGTTAGCTCGATTCATTGATGGTTAATTGTGTAGGGAAACTACAAATAACTGCAAGACTAATTGTTATTTACAGCTGTGAGAACTGTACATGAAGATTAATCAGAATGAAAATCAAACCTAACCTATAAACATTTGTATTATGGTATATGTATATGTATGAACTAGTATATCTTATAAGTCAGAACCATTCAACTGTGCAACTGGGATAGAAACCTGCTTCTGAAGCCGCTGCAGAAAGCGAGTGGAGCTCTTTCATACTCTTCATCCTCTCATAGAAAATGGAACAAGCCAGAGATGTGCATTTCACTCCACTTTCAAGAACCCAATCTCCACCTCCACAATGCCGGCATATCTAGAAGGTGAAAACAACAAAAACAAAATCATTACCCAAAAGAAGAAGTTTCACATGTTTATCTGTACTTTGTGAAATATAAAAAGTTTAGAACCAACAACCTTATGAACGACATTTTTTTGTTTCCAGAAGAGCAACAATATCGGAGAGCTGTGTATAAAGATTTTTCATAGATGGCATTATTTTGGAAAAAATGGGAGGGTGTAAAGAAAGGGAACAAAATTGAAATGACAAGTATGTACTCATAAGAACATCTATTTTGATTCATAAGTAGTTTATGAACAGGCATCCACATCAAGTAACTTCAAAGTTCAAATCTGTTTACACTAAGATCGGTACTCACAGCAACAAGGCGATGCATGTCCATTTCCAGTTTAGAGGTCCTTCCCGTCAAAGCTACAGCAATACTAGATTCATTCATAGAACAATTATGGCAGAGAAAAGCCAACCCCTGTGCCAAATCACCACACAGGATACAATGTTTCGAAAGGTAATAATAGTCGATCCTTTTTCGTTGAGCATTTGGAGCAAAAACACCACGTTTTCCGATATATCCTCGTTCTGGTCGAGGCATTCCTTGAAACCATTGGTTCAAGTCGGCTCCAACAAGCCCAAAGACTCGCTGCAAAGCTGGGATAATTTGTTTCTGGATGTAGTATGTGTCATTTATTCTGTGAGGTGAATCAATGGTTAAGAGGTCCAGAGGGTCCACCACAAGATCAGCAAGCCGAGCACCAGGTTCACCATGTACTACAACATAAGGTACTCGCTCTGCATATCGTGGTTCCGCCCTAGGGTCTGTTCTCATTGCTTTGGTTGCAACAATAGCTGCAGGAGGAAGTGAGTAAGATCGTACACTGTAAGTTCCTAAGCGTACCTCCTTTGCAAAAACAAAATCCTGCAAATCAACTCTTGCAGATATGATCCTGGTCCACTGACGTACCAAGTACGCTTTAACCTATAAATAAATAAAAAGGACAATGTTTTCTCAACGTAGAGATATATAAAAAAGCTATAAAAAAACAAAAGTAAATCCAATCAGAACCAGAATGACATCTATTGATATATAATATATTTCATTTGACACTGTTTATTAGGTACTGACTTGTTTTTAACTTCCGTTTCCGTGTTGTTCAAGACATTATGTCCATTGTCAATGAAGCTAAAATAGTCGTAATTTACAATGTTTTAGCTTCAGGTAAATAATGCACTAAATCAAAATGGCAAATTAAACTTCCTTTGCATCTTAGTCTCAATGAAGTTTTGGGTAGTAAATGCAGCACTGCATCAAGGGTCTAGCGAAAACAGTCTCTGTATTTTACAGGGGTCTTGACCCCAAGAAGTTGGGATTATACTGGGTTGTTCTAAAGTTGGGATTATGATATATCTGGGCTCAGCCTCATCATGGTTCGCCCTATACCCTACACTCCCGGGGGAAGCCGAGGACCTATGTTTAAGCTATATGATCCATTTTGAAGGCCCTTAAACCCATGATCCTCCTCAATCCCTACAATCCAGAAACAACACCAAACCTTAACCATTCTCCCCCTTCTCCTTTTCATCTTGGCCGAACCCATCTTCCCCAAAACCCTACCTCATTCACCCCTCAAGACCATGTTAAAACACACCCAACAAAACCCCCTTCATAACCCTTAAGTTGGTCGAAAACAAGAAGCCAAAACAAACCCATTTACCCCTTAAAACATCCACCCAACAAGGCCCCCACTATGTCCCCTAAACCAGACACAAAACA